AATAGGGTGAATACATCTCATTACACTGATTTACTGGTAGTCTCGAAACTCTACTCTAATACGAAAATTATTTTTTTATCTTACTCGGTTTCCTAACCTTTTACTATTCGAATATGGTCAGCAATTAGAACAGTGTTCACCCTATTCCTTTTAATGTGATCATGGACTGATGGTCTCGAAAGCATACTTTGCAAAAAGCACACTGAATACTATCCGAAGCAGTTTAGGCTAATTGCTGAATTGCAATGATCCTGTATTTTCGGCTCGGAGGCAAATTGCCCCATCACTTTGTGAAACAGTCTCGGCTCATGCCCTCTATTCACGGCCATCTTCGTCTTGCCCTGAACGCAAATCATTCTCGGGGATCACATTTGCTCCTTCAAGGTGACGTTTTTACTGCTTTGCAAAGGAATAGGAAAAGCGTTCTGCCTTCCCCAGACAGCCGGCATTGGTGCCAGACGAGTGCCGGCCAGTTCCTTTTCGTCCGTCCGTTGAAAGTTGTCTTCATTATGCAGAAGGAGGAGAACGTTTAGTCTCCCGACTCTCCAAATCGCTCATAGACGCGGTTGCCCAGGTGACAGGAATGCTTCATCCGGACAAACGAAACGCTTAAAGACGGTACAGTGGTACATTTTATAATTCACTGAAATGCACTGTTTCCGAGGGGCAAGCAGGGCACATCTTCCGGTGCAGTTGTGCGCAGTTTTTCTCGATCTGGTCCTTTGCGCTGTGGGTGGGGAAGCGACGAGGAGACGAATTGAGGGTCCAGCTGGAACCTGGCTCCACAACCGGCTGACTCACGCGCGAATCTCGCCGGAAAAGGGCGCAGGTTCTACAGTTTGGAATCAAAGACACACGTCGTCTGTGACCTTTCTTGGCTGAATCAGCCCGTTCGAGAGTGAAAAGATCGCTCGACGGCATTTATGCGCTTGCCAGAGAGAATGAGTGCCAAACTTTGCAGTATCCGAACTGATACAAAACATGTTTAGCATCACCCAAATTATGGACGGACTTTGCAATAAACAGAATAGCAAGTTGCCGATAGTAACCGTTAGTTAGGGCAAAAGTAAGTGAATAAAATCTTTTTGTAAAAAAAATACCTTCCCCGTTGGCTTTGCATAATTCTATGCAAATTTGTAGTACTTTGGATTTTTATTTCGAATATCCTTTAACCAAATTTTGTTTGAAATTGATGCATAAATTATACAAAGATTTAACTTAATTTTAATTTCGTTAAAGGAACACATCGAATATGCATTCCCCTTGAATAAATGCTAACGGAAAACCATTAACGGACTCTCAACCTGGCATCTTGTAGGTATCAGCCGATATAATTTTAACTGCTCACAATTGTTTTTGCAATCCACTTCACTAAACCTGTGCACAACGGACTGGGCTCGAGTCCGGTTCTGTTGTTTTCGCTCCAACTGCCGACACATGAATCACCGTTAGGCCAGTTTCCGCTCGGTAGCAAACCAATTTGGGATGGCATTAGCTTGAAAATTTCAAAAGTATGCGTACATAAAACTTTCGTTGCTATGCCTATATGTATGTATGTTTATTTGTTTTTTTTGTTTGTTTGCTTGTTTGTTTGTTCGTTTGTTCGTTTGTT